GTGTGTGTGTGTGTGTGAGAGAGAGAGAGAGAGAGAGAGAGAGAGAGAGAGAGAGAGAGAGAGAGAGAGAGAGAGAGAGAGAGAAAGAGAGAGAACAGGTAAGTCTCTAACCTCGTTACTGGCCTCATGGTAGTTCCATTGATAGGATGGAGCAAAATCGAATGAATCTACCGCTAGAAGACGGAAATATATACTGCCACACTTGTTTTTCTGCCTCGCCGCATTCGCGTGTGTGTGCGTTCGCATCCCTGAAGCTACGGTCTAGTGGGGTTCGATGTCTGTGTCAAGGTGTTGCATTTTCGGCGGCCGGTAACCAGGACGCAAACTGGGTAGTTAGGGGGGGAAAAAAATTGGGGGACCAGTCCTTTACGAAATTGCGGACTACCTACAGCTAGCTCGGGTAGAACCGGGACTTTTGGAGAAAGGAAGGACCAGTCCTCGGGTGGAAGTGGACCCCCAAAAGAAGTGAGGGCATGTGAACTGCAAAAGGGCCATCAGGCCCAGGCGTTAACGCCCGTCTTCTCAAAACAGGGAGGTCAGGCGCAACGAAACATGCGTTTTGCAAGAGGTAAGCTTGACAATTTTTTGTACTCGAGGAACCCGCAAAAAAATCTGAAATTTTGAAAATCCATAGATGAGGGGAGGTTCTTTTTAGGAAAAATATTAGAACAATTACAAAAAATCATTTAGACTGTGAAATAATTGTCGAACCGATTCGGCACATTTTTCATTTTTGCCACTCAACCTATGCGTAGGCCAACTGAAAAAGTACTTCAAAGAAAATGAGTGAAAAAACCAGAAAATTAGAGTACTCGTAGATTTTGTTGTGATCTTTCCAGGAAAAACTCTCAATAAATAAAAAGATAACTGGAACTGTGAAATAGATCGCGGGCGTAATTTGACCCATATTTCAATTTTGCCATTCAGCCTCCCACTCTCTCTCTCTCTCTCTCTCTCTCTCTCTCTCTCTCTCTCTCTGGTAAGCCCCCCCCTTTTCCTCTTTGTCTATCTCTCTTTCTTTCCCGCTCTAACTCTCTGTGTCTCTCTCTCACTCATATGGGTAAATGGAACAAAAATCTCTCTCTCTCTCTCTCTCTCTTTCTCTCTGGTAGCCCTTCCTCTTCCCTCTCTCTATATCTTTCTTTCTTTCTCTCTCTCATTCTCCGTCTCTCTCTCACACTCATAACAATACATGAAACAAAACTCTCTCTCTCTCTCTCTCTCTCTCTCTCTCTCTCTCTCTCTCTCTCTCTCTCTCTCTCTCTCTCTGTTGTGCGCGCTCTTAGTCTCATTCCTTTGGCTACCTTAGGGTTGTGTTCCCCTCGCCCACGCGGTAGACAATGTTTGTGTGTGTGTGCGTGTGTGTGTGTGGGGGGGTGAGCAACCCCTTCCCCACGAATTAATCAATCAAATAATTCCAGTCACCCCCAAATTCCCCAATCAATAAACCTATCAACAAAACAAATCCCAATCAATCAATCAATCAATATATATATATATATATATATATATATATATACCCCCAACCCACCCCCTCCCGAAATTTATTTTTTTTATTTTTTTTCACTGTGAGGGGGTGGGGTTGGGTTTGCGCAACCCAAGTAGACATCCAACCCCCCCGCCCCGTCCCCCCCCACTGGCCGCAAAGTCGCACGGTCGCGGCCTTGGCCGCGCATGGCCGCCTCTGGGGGGATTCACTGTCGGAGGGTAAGAGCGGATGATTAACCCGATCGCGCGTCTGACTTGTAATTCGAGGCAAAGGAAAGCGTCCTGGGGAACTTACACGGTTATAACCCAGAACTTCGCTTCGTCCTCAATTTGTCGTTGTTTGGAAGGCTTGAATTTGAAGACATAGCTGGTCACACCCACTATAATCTCGTCGGCTATGTGACACCCGTGACCTAGGTCGCGGGCAATTCGGACGCCGAAGCCCGCGGCCAACGAGGCCCAGCCCGCGGCCTGTTTTTTTTATATATATTTTTTCACCCCTAAAAATATGTAATAAAAAAATAAACAAATACAGGGTTGTAGGGCTTGGAAAACCC